TAAGCACGGTATGTTTACTACAATATTCAAGTTTAACTTTGCTTTTACTGTAAATCTATATTTTCACGAATTTTGTGAATGTGATTGTGTATTAAAATATTTGTCCTAAAATTCTGCGCGTATCGTTGGTTCAGTAGCTCTGTTACCGGTTGTATATAAAAACAGTTCAACGAATAACTTTGCAGTTTGAGCTGTTGATATCACAGAGACCTTTATACTATAAGTATAACAGTATTTTAGTAAAATATGATAGTCATGTGATAGCTGCATAAAAGCTAAGCAAGTAATTTTGATGTTTTTATATCATTGTATAGTTGAAATAAAATAGTTAGTGATCTGTATATTAGTATATATGGGAATATTAATTTTCAACCATACTTGGCAGTTTGGGTTCTGTTAATATTATGTTCAATTATTTTCACTGTGATTTATTAAATACTGGGTATTACTGTATACAGTATGCCTGCTAAGGCCTGCTTACTGTATTAAAGTAGAGTAGTACAGTTGGTGGAATTATTTGATCAATACAGCTTTATGCCATTACAGAGAATGTAGTAGGCCCCTAAATTAAAAATATAATAACATTTCAGATAATCAGGCTTACATACTTGTATGTTGATGTCAGTGCAATGCCAAACTCATATAGAATATACAAGTGAGTATTGTAAGTCTAAAGAATTTTGATTGACAGTATTTGTGTTTTACTGACGTGAAACTGTGCCGGTTTTTATTGCAAAATAGGGCGAGTTTAGGCGAGTTAAGCAAAATTCTGTCAACTTCTCATTGCGAGATAAGGCGAGATTGGGCGAGTTAAGCAAAATTCGATCAATTTCCATTGCGAGATAAGGCGAGTTAGAGCGAGTTAAGGTCCCAGAGTAGGCCTGACCTAGGAACATCACATGGTTTAACCCACCCTATAGTAGAAACGTTGAAGCCAATGTAGGAAAATGTTTCCTCGAATTAATCGACAGCCACTTTCCAAAATCAAACCCACTCAGCAAAATATTTAATCGTCACAACCTCAAACTAAGCTACAGCTGCATGAATAACACTAAAACTATGATCTCGGGCCACAACAAATCCCAATTATCCAAACCAGAGGCCACCACCGATACAACGAAAAACTGCAATTGTCAAAAAAGCCCTTGCCCAATGGACAAAAATTGTCAGGCTGACAGCATCATATGCCAAGCTGAAGTAACAACGGATGATTCGCAAGAAATGTACGTCGGACTTTGCGATACTGAATTCAAGTTAAGGTATAACAACCACCAATGCTCGTTCAATCATGAAAGGTATAGAAACGTAACATTAGAATGTTAGGGTTTGTAATCCAAGTGATTATATACATTTTAAGAACTGACCAGGAACGACTGCGTAAAATGCAGCACAAGGTCCTCTTGTAGGAAACAAACCTACGGCCCTGCGATTCCGGTGCAGCGCTCTAACCAACTGAGCTACAGAGGCCAGCTGTTGAGGTGTAACTGTAAGTTCATGTATATATATATAGGTAATTGGGTGTGCGGGTTGTGATAAGGTGGACTTGAATGATGTGGTTTCTTTGCACTTCACTTGGTGGAATTAATTTTTGAATGTTAGGGTTTGTAATCCAAGTGACTATATACATTTTAAGACCTGAACAGGAACGACTGCGAAAAATGCAGCACAAGGTCCTCTGGTAGGAAACGAACCTACGGCCCTGCGATTCCGGTGCAGCGCTCTAACCAACTGAGCTACAGAGGCCTGCTGTTGAGCTGTAACCGTAAGTTCATGTATATATAGGTAATCGGGTGTGCGGGTTGTAATAAGGTGGACTTGAATGATGTGGTTTCTTTGCACTTCACTTGGTGGAATTAATATTAGAATGTTAGGGTTTGTAATCCAAGTGATTATATACATTTTAAGACCTGACCAGGAACGACTGCGAAAAATGCAGCACAAAGTCTTCTGGTAGGAAGAGGACCTTGTGCTGCATTTTTGCAGAGGACCTTGTGCTGCATTTTTCGCAGTCGTTCCTGGTCAGGTCTTAAAATGTATATAATCACTTGGATTACCGACCCTAACATTCTAATATTAATTCCACCAAGTGAAGTGCAAAAAAACCACATCATTCAAGTCCATAGAAACGTAACGCAGTTAAGTAAACACATATGGAACCTGAAAGACCAGAAGATCAAATACCAAATCAAGTGGAAGCAAGTAAGACAAGCTAGATCATACACCAACGTTAGCAAAAAATGCAACTTGTGCCTGTGGGAGAAATATTACATAATACGTCAACGTAAGAGTGCAACGCTCAACAAAAGAAGTAAACTTATGTCGGAATGTAGACATTCAAAGAAATTTTTATTGGACAATGCAATTACTGAGTTAGAACGATGAACAAACATCGACCGAAATGTTTGTAATACCGATGTATAGATAACTTTAGCTTTAAACATATCTGCATAGTTACTCTGCAGCGTAATAGAAATAGTCTGTTTCACTTAGAAATAATCTGTTAACACAAGTAGAGGGTAAATAACTACATTTACCCTTTATTGAATAGCTTTGTGCGAAGTCCTAGACGTTATATTATCTGTCTAACCAGCGACTTCAATTAACGGATTATAAACATATCAAAGAAATCTTTATTACCAAGCAATAAATATGCTTTGTCAAAACTTACCGTCAACATCAATGAATAGCCCGGCAGTTCCTAATAGGAATGTGATAAATAATTTCATTCTCGTGAAAAGTACAGTTCACGATATACCAAATCTCTTTTGAGAACACTTAGTTTGTACAGATTGACTAGACCGAGAATTTCCAATTATAGTCTTCCTTTACCCTTTTTGTTGCCCCTATATGTAGCAAGCTATTTTGCAATACAATCAGAATGAGTGGGAATAAAGAATTTTTATCCGACCACTCATTGTCGTTTTAATTATTCAGGAGCACAACACAAAGAAAAATTATAAGTGTGTTGTGGTTTTATATGTGATAAAAAATCATGTTAATTTACATAAACTTTAACTTTGATTTTCTCGATCTAGACAAAGTTTATTTTAAAAATTACTTCGCCAATGAATTCGTATAAGTTGAGTCGTTTTTTAAGCCATTTAAAGCACTTGTAATGGTGTTTAACCACATATAAAACACTCCGCTACGCGTCGTGTTTTGTATGTGATAAAACACTCCTACGCGTGCTTTAAGGTGGCTCTCTACAGTTCTCTAAAATTCTAGGTATTTGAGTATCGTTCGCTTTGAACCGAATTTATATTAGATACACTTAAGACAAGGCAATATGATCATTTCCAGGAAAGTTCAGAAGCTGTGTGCTGTCCATTTATGAACAAATTAAAACAGCGTTTGTGTTGCCATGGCAACCATGACGTTTAATCTTTTCCACTTTTATTGTCTAATTTCTCAATAAATTGACAATATCTATATTTTCCTTCGGTTAATTTTTCTGAATTTTTTTTTTAAGATTGATGGTCCATAAAGGAAAAACATATCAAAATTTGAAGGGAATTACAAATAAGTTTTCAAGATATTCGTGAATGACGTACGGTTACACTAAAAGTTATTTGTAGAATTTCTTAAAATTTGATATGTTGTACCACTCGTCTTGTATAACAAAAATACAAAGTTTAAAAAAATTTCACCGAAGAAAACACGAGAAAATCATCGCTAAAATCGGCGTGGACAGCATGAAAAAAAATCGACTCTACATGGGCACGATGTAAATGCGTGTAAATTGTAGCGTGTGATTTATAGTGATTTCAACTTTTTGGCTTACAATACATAAGAAAACAGATATTTCTGACTTGTTTGATATGAAAATAAAATATTAATCTTGAAAATACTAATAAAAAACACTATTGTAGGCATTGTATTATATCCAGTGTTAGTTTACATTTGTTTTTGTTGTTAAAATCGGTGTGAAAACTTTTCAAAACATCGAACTACAAGTTTAACTTTTCATATAAAACAACTCATAACTGTTTTATTTGATTTAGCAGATAAAACGATACCTGCGTAGTGAACTGTTGCCGAAACTTATATAAGTTTCGGCAACAGTTCACTACTGTTCAAGAGTTAATAGAAGACAGTATCATTTCAGTTTGACAGCTCGCAAAACAACAAGTTGAAAATTTTGAGCAATATGAAAGACAATACTGAAAGTAAATACGTAAAAACACACTAAAAGATAGGTTAAACTAGTTAATAACATACGTACTGTTCGAATTCAGAAAAAAAATAAGGATTATAATGAAAAACTGGGGCTTTCTTGGTAGATAAAAAACACCAAAAAACTTCCCACGGCTTGTTTCAATATTTTTGCCGAACAGTAAACACGACGATTCCACGCGTAGGTCGCGAGGATGAAGTCTGATCTATATACTCGTATTTAAACCAGTGAACTGTAAATAACCTGGAACGATAACTCCGCCGCCATCTTTGAAGCCACTCATGAGTGATGATTTTGCAGGTTGCCCAGTCCTTTTTTACAAAATGGCGTCGAAAAATATTTTTTGAAAATCGATAAATTTTGCCATTTTCTTTTTGTTGAGCACTTGCCAACTCCTCCAAATATGAAACTAGGGCAAAATAACTTTAAATAAATGTGTTTAAAATAAAAAATGGTTACCAAACAACAAAAATATCACACGTATAAGACGAACAACACGAAAATACCGCGCGAAAATTTTTAGTTTTTCTGTGTTAGTAGACTTTCCAGAAAGAGTTCAGGAACATTTTGGCAACAGTTATTTGAGAAAAGCTTAGATGCTGTTAAAAATTCATTTCCGAGCATACAGAAACGTATTTTTTTAAAGTTAAAATCCGATTAAACATGTAAAAAATCTTCGGGGAAAAATGAGTGTTTTTCATATCGCCCCAATCCACATCTGGCTGGCAGAGCGCAAGTAATTTGTTATTTTTTAACATTTTTGTAAACAAAGTTGAAAAAAAAGTTTGAAAACTGCAAAATTAATTTGTTATTGACTGTAATAATAATGCCATTTACGTGTGTAGTCTGTGGCTACACAAGTGAATGCTCAAAGGAGAATGAAAACAAAACATATACTGCATTTCACAGGTAAGAAATTACAAAACAATTGAAACTTTTAAATATTTATTAATATTTAATTTATTTACATGACAATAGTAAACACTATTATGACAATGGGTACAAATTCATAATGACAAAATGAAAAAGCTAATTTTCATTAATACAGGTTTCCCTTAAAAGATGAAAGACATCTTGAGAAGTGGGAAAATATAGTTAAGAGAGCAAGAAATGATGGACAACAATGGAGGGCAACACGCCACAGCTACATTTGCAGTAATCATTTTGAAGCATGTGACTACACTATACCCCCATCCTCAACAGGGCCATGCAGGCTAAAAAAATATGCTGTACCATCATTATTCAAATTGGAAGTCAAACCGCAAAGCATACCAAAAGAGGCTAGAAGCCGACTGGAAATGCCTGAAGGAAGTTCCACCCATCAAGGCCATAAACGTCCAATTTCATGTGAACATCTATTGTCAACAATATATCATGATCACTGCTATGGAAAACGGCAAAAACTAATACAGCAGACACCACTTCAGGAAATCCATGGTAATTCATGCCAAGATGAAGAAATTTCTAAAAAACAATTAAAACATAAAATTAAAAACTTACAGCAGCAATTGCGAAGGTGTAAGAAGAAGATAGGGAACATGGCAGAACTTATTGACAAACTGCAAGAAGAGCTCATCATAAAATCAGATGTGGCAGATAAGTTACATGCGTCATTCGACAAAATTCAATTGTCCATTTTCCAAAATGTCCAAAAAAATTCACAGAGTTTGCCATGTGGCCGCCGCTATACTGATGATATCAAAGAATTTGCATTAACCTTATACTTTTATTCTCCAAAAGCATATCAATATGTACGTTCAATTTTGCCCTTACCCAATCCTTCTTTGATTCGGAAGTGGGCAAGCTCAGTAGATTGTGAACCTGGGTTCCTGAAAGAGGCATTCAAGGCACTGTCAGATGAAGTCAAACAATGTCCAGACAAAAAAGACTGTTACCTCATTATGGATGCCATGTCAATTCGAAAGGAGACGGTGTGGGACAAGGAGAATGATAGATATGATGGATTCATAAACTATGGCACAGTAAACCCTGAAGATCCAGAGACATTAGCATCTGAAGCACTAGTCTTTCTTTTGGTTGGAGCCAGAACACACTGGAAATGTCCCATTGGTTACTTTCTCGGCAATAAAATTTCTGCGAGGATCCAGGCACAGCTTTTGATAACAGCACTTGAAATGGCCGCAGAATCTGGACTACGGGTATGGTCTATCACTGCAGATGGAACATCAGTAAATCTCAGCACCTTCAGTCTCCTTGGCTGTAAATTTGGAACAACGTACAAGGACATGGTTACAAAGTTCAAGCATCCAACAGAAGATTACCACGTATACGTCATATCGGATCCATGCCACATGTTGAAACTGGCCAGAAATGCACTAGGAACACTTCATTCATTCACCGACAATGATGGTAAGAAGGTCAGATGGAGATTCTTTAAAAATTTGTGCTTAATCCAGGAGGAACATGGGTTGAAAATGGCCAACAAGTTGTCCCCAAAACACCTGCAATTTGAGAAACATAAAATGAAGGTTAACCTGGCGGCACAAACACTAAGTTCATCGGTAGCAGATGCAATTGAATTCCTGGAAAACGTAATGGAGCTACCTGACTTTACAGACAGCCAAGGAACAGTAATATTTTGCAGAACAATTGACAGACTATTCGATATGCTAAATTCTCGCAACCCATTAGGAAAGGGTACAAACAACCCCTCAGATGGAACACACAGGATATTTGGGAATCAACATTAAGATCTACGGCTGATTACCTACTATCGTTGAAAACAGATACAGTTCCTGCTCAACTTCTTTCAACACATCCTCGAAAGACATTTATAATTGGTTTTGTAGCAGACATAAAGTCAACAATTGAAATGGCCCATGAAATGCTATCAAGCACCAACAACCCATTTAAATATGTGCTAACATACAAGTACTCACAAGATCATGTTGAACTGTTCTTTTCATGTATACGAGCACAAGGTGGCTGGAACAACAACCCCAGCACTTTACAGCTGAAATATTCCCTGCGGAAAATGCTACTGAGAAATGCCGTAACTGCATCGAAAAATGCAAACTGCACAGAATTTACAGACCTAACCACAATCACCTCGACTGTGATACCTTTTTTTCATAAGAGGAAGCACAAAACCCCCTTACTGGACAAGGATGCTGAGGAGGAAGAGGAGGAAGATGAAGAACAACCCATGGTAGAGCCATTGGGTCAGGAAGGTCACAGTGACTTCACCGCCAACATATTGGTCTACATCGCAGGATATATTGTATCAAAACTGCTAAAGCTGCTTACATGTCCTGACTGAATCACTAGCCTAACTTCCCAACCATCTACCAACCCTGATCAGGATTTCTGTGGTGTTCGGTACAACAGTGCTGCAGCTGCATCTGCCTTTACACTGTTTGTGAACAATGGTGGTCTGAAAATACCGTCAAAATCTGTGTTCCAGATCATTGAGTATGCTGAGCTTGTGTTTAAACGAAACGTATGCAAAGAAGGAAAAAGCATTAGTAACAAAAAAAATTTGAAGAAGACAATGATTATGAGCGTTTGTCACCACTTTGTTGATATACACCAAGTCCTGTTTGCAGAACATGAAGAAGACATCAACGAAAGAGTGTTCGAAGATGAACATCGGATAAAGCTTGTCAAACACTGTGCCGACCAATATCTTACATTGCGTCTTTTTACTTATGCGAAACGTTTTAATGCAAATGTGGTACAAAAGGGACAGCCAAGTGACAGGCATCGTTTAACAAAGTTAATCCTATTCAAGGCACAATAAATTGAATTTAAATTATCCAATTAAAGTCTAATAATAAGGTCCCATAAAATAAATTCCTTGATTCTCATCACTACACTTTGAAAATGTCGAAGAGGCGGGAGGTTTATATTTTATATTTATATAATTTATATATCAATGAATAAAAAAATAATTCCTAACATTTAACCCTATTTGTACCGGGGGTGCGCACAATGGGCGCACTCCTATAAATATTCATCCGTCATTCCTGAACAAATTATCTGATTTGCCTGTACTTTCATGACTTTTAATATTTTTCCTCTGCCGTCATTACTGTGAAAAAATTTTTCTGAAAATTCAAAGTTATCCGGACGTTTGGCGACTTTGTCAAAGCAGGTGTCGGGGCCAAAAATGGGTAAATGTGGGTTGGACATTATTTTTTGGCTTCAATCGCTTCCCAGGTCATAAATAACATAATATAATTAGAATAGAGAACATATAAATATGGATTATTACACATGATTTGCAAAGTAAAATATCCATAATATATTATATAAAATAGTAAAATATAGTACAACATATAATATAGCATACTATACAATACTTATAATTATATAATATAAAATACTTATTTATAAT